TATGCACACGCAAGTCCGGGCATATATAACTCGGTGTGAAACGGCAGGTGCATGTGCAATTGAATGCATGCCCTGGTTGTTGAACAGGTGTAGGAAATTCCGGGGCATGTGATCTCTTACAAACATCAGTAAGAACAGGCGTCGGTAGGTCGAAACGGCGAGACACACATGGCCAATAATTGGAGGGCAGTGTGGAAACGCATGCGCGCGCGAGAAAACGCGCGCAACTGAACGCGCACACGCGAGAACGCGCGCGTGAATACAATGGCGCGCACATGAACTTTCACTGGAAGCGATCGGCGTGAATGGACTCAGGGAATCGCTTTGCCCCCCCATGCGTCGCCCTCTTCCTAAAACCATGGGTCTAGAGCTCTTCCCCCGCGATGGGCTAGAGCGCCTAAGATGGCCCAAAATGGCTCCGCGACGGCCCCAGAAAGCCCATGATGACCTCAAATATGACTCATGAGCACCCAACGTCGTTCAAGATACCTTCCAATTTGCCTCCGAGATGCCCCGCGGCCGCCCCCAGGCGGCTCCAAGTGGCCGCGGCGCTCCCCCAGGAGGCCCCCGGGAAGCCCAACTCCTTTAATGACAATACGATGAACAAGTTGGTGTCGCCTTCTCGTTGTTCCGAGCAATGTCCGCAGGCAGCAATGCAACTATAATGATGATGCCGACTGTGTGGGGCCGGACGGAGTGCCGCGTGCCGCTGGCATTGGCGACCGGAAACACATGTTCAAGTGTAATATGACAGCGCCAGACTGCGCCAGGACAGCCGAGGGGCAGCCACGGGGCAGCCGCGGGGCAGCCGCGGGACAGCCGCGGGACAGCCGCGGGGCAGCCGCGGGACAGCCGCGGGACAGCCGAAGCAAAGCGGGCCGTCGGGCAATAAAGCTGCGGCCCGGGCCAGTAAAGCCGCGGCCCGCCGCGGGGCAGCCGCGGGGCAGCCGCGGGGCAGCCGCGGGACAACCGCGGGGCAGCCGAGGCGCAGGCGAGGCAAACATGAAGCCAAAATGCTATGGGAGCACTGGGAATGGCCTTCAATCGAGTTGTCTGGCATTGAAGATTATCCATGGTTCGGATGACGAGGAAGGGAGCGAAGGAGGTAGGAGGGGGGCGAAGGAGGGAAGAGGGAGGAGGGAGGAGCGAGGAGGGAGGGAGGAGGGAGGATGAGGGAGGAACGAGGAGGGAGGGACGAGAAGGGAGGAGGGAGGACCAAGGAGGGATGAAGGGTGGAGGAGCCACGGCAAAGAAACGAATGAGTGAACCCGACGTCGGGGTCAAATAAGCCCCCGCCATCAAAGTGTATATTGGGGCTGGTCTTGTGGGGGGCGATTGCCGTGGGAGGGGGTCCAAGGGCGCGGGATGAGCGGGGGGGTTTTTTGCTGATGATTTCTATGTGCTTGTATTGCAATAAAACGGACTGTCATTTTCCCGCGCAACCAAAATAGCAACAAACGAACGGGGGAAAGGCGCGCGCCACCTGCATCTTACGGGCGATGCCGCTGGACGCCCGTGAGCGCGAAAACCGCGAAGAGACCCGGACCGACGAAAAGCGCGAGAATCCCCTAAACCTTGCAAGATCTTGCAGTGCCCACCCAATCGGCCAGGGCAGACGAAGGCGCCCGTGCGGGGCGCGCGCATCATCACAGCGACATCAAAAAACACGCCATGTCCTGAAGCTCGCAGAACGCATCATGGAGCGATGGCGCACGCACAGATCCGCAGTCGAATCGGGTTGAAGCTCGCACGGGCTGCGCTCGAGCAGACCGGCGCGCCCGACACTCAAACGCGCCGAAGCTCTAGCTACTCGCGCACGCAGAAAAGCTGCTCGCTCAATGAAAAAAGCCACGCTCGCAGGAAAGCTGCTCGCCCACAGGGCACGGCTACATTTGGGCTTTTCTCGGGCGGAATTATGCGAAGGGGGGGGGTCAGTTTAAGCCGCGGCCTCCTCAATGCGGACATGCAGGAGATCATGGAGGGGACGCCAGACCCCATTCTCGGGATCCAGGATGATGAGGGAATAGAGTCGCCGCCGCCTCGCAGTAGTGAGACCAAAGATAACGCGCATCGCGCCATGGAGGGCACCGAGGAGGGCATAGTCTACATCCAGGCCGGAGCGCATGCGAGGCACATGAGGGAGGTGCTGAATAACGCGCAGGACATGCAGAAGGGCATGAAAGGTACGCCAAACCACATACTCGAGATCCAAGATAATGCGGACATGAAGGGAAGCATGAAGCGTACGCCAAACCCCATTATCGAGACCCAATGTAATACTGACATGCAGGACGCCATGAAGAGTACGCCAAACCCCATTCTCGATATCCAAATTCATACGGACATGCAGGAGATCATGGAGGGGACGTAAAACCCCATTCTCGGGATCCAGGATGATGAGGTCATAGAGTGGCCGCCGCCACGCAGTCTTGAGACCAAAGATAACCTGCATCGCGTCATGGAGGGCACCGAGGAGGGCGTAGTCTCCATCCAGGCCAGAGCGCATGCGAAGCACATGAGGGAGGTGCTGAATAACGCGCAGGACATGCAGAAGGACATGAAGGGTACGCCAAGCCACATACTCGAGATCCACGATAATGCGGACATGCAGGGAAGCATGAAGCGTACGCCAAACCCCACTATCGAGACCCAATGTAATACTGACATGCAGGACGCCATGAAGAGTACGCCAAACCCCATTCTCGAGATCCAAATTCATACGGACATGCAGGAGATCATGGAGGGGACGTAAAACCCCATTCTCGGGATCCAGGATGATGAGGTCATAGAGTGGCCGCCGCCACGCAGTCTTGAGACCAAACATAACGTGCATCACGTCATGGAGGGCACCGAGGAGGGCATAGTCTACATCCAGGCCGGAACTCTTACCCACGAAATTAAGATGCAGGCCCCTGGGCCCATTCCCTAACACAAATACAATAACTGTGCAAATTGACTATGAGTTCTGGTTCCCAGCGCGGTGGCTCTCAGCGCGCGGAGTCGAGCTACGCCCTAGATATACTGTTTCACTGAGCTTGGAGCTTTCTTTCCGCGCGCGTGGAGAAACAATCCATTGAGGTGTTTGTGTATTCGTCGATATTCGGATTTCGGCACGAAGTCGATATCTTGAAGAGTTGTGTGTGATTGGAATTTGGGTCTGGCAAATCTCGATGAACTCTCGTACCCCAGCACGGTGGCGGACAGCGGCAATAGTGACCTCGCACCGTGGAGCGAGAGGTTGCCCAGGAGCAACCCGTTTGAGTGACAACGTCTTGTCATGCATTTCAACGCTGCGCAGTGATGGGCTACGATGTCCTGGTGGTTTTCGCCCGTTTACTTCGGTGGCATCTGCATTTGCCGGCTCGCGTGTTGGCCGGCAATGGGGAAAAACTCGCAGGCGCTTGAGTGCGCGTCCACTTTGCATCGGGCAATTCATGGAAGGCCGACGCATTGGCAATGCGCCTCTTTAGCCCGCGGCGAAAAGCGCGGCGACCGATGCTAGGAGACGGCGCTGGGCGCATCGGCGACGCATCGCTCGGTCTCCGAAGGCGCGCCAGAAAGGCGCGACTGCATGGTTTCAGAAAAGTATACAAATAATTGAGCCAATCCTCGCAATATCTCGCATTTACAGCAGCTGCTGCGGCTGCCGCCCACGCCCTCTCTCCGCTTGAATTTCTGCAGCGTCGGACATTCGCCCGAAGCAGCAATGGGGGCCCCGGAGATGGCGCAGAGCAAATCCAAATACCACGTTGCTGTCCGTCGCTGCTCCGGAAGAAACTCGCGGGCGCCCCCCCCCCCCCCCCTCCCCCCCGCAACGATTTTTTCAGAACGGTCAATATAATTGCGGGCCGAACGTCGCCACGCATCACACCTCCAGCTGCTGTTGCGGCTGCTGCCCCGCGCCATCTCTCCGCCTGTAGATCTGCCGCGTCGGGCATTGTTCGCCCGAAACGACGCAGGAGCTTCAGAGTTGGCGGCGGCGACGGCGGCGACGGCGGCGGCGGTTACGGGGGCCGTGGCCGTCGGCGGATGGGGCTTCTCCTCGGTGGTAGCAGCGCGCGTTAATGTCGGGATCCAGCCCCGCGCCTCGGAGCGGCCCCAGCAGCCCGCGATCGGGCGCGCCCGAATCGGACGCGGGATGTCAGATATGCGCGGGCGCTCTCGGTGGATCAGTTCCAGCTCGGAGGATGGAAGCCTTCACTTCTGCGGTATCTGGTTGGTTGGCGATGCGTCGCCCTAGCCCGCGTTGAAAAGCGCAACGCCGGCTGTCAAAAGATTGCGTTCGACGCGTCGGCGATGCGTTGCGCGGTCTCGAAACGCGCCAAAAAGCAACGGATGGATGGTTTCTGAGGAGCACATGAAGTTTAGGACGAAGCTCGCCACGTCTCACACTAGCCGTTCCTCGCCGACTCGCGGACCGCGTCATCTTCGTCTCGGGGGCCGCCCTCGCCGTGGCCAGGTTTCCCCGAAAGCTTCGCGGAGAACTTGGATGCGTTCGAAGCGGGGCTTCCTTTGGGCATCCGCATTCGCGGCGATGACGACGAGGGCCGTGGCCGTCGGCGGACGGGGCCGCTCCTCGGCGGCTGCGAGATATCCACAGGTATTCTCGACAAACTGGCCCGCAGGACCAGGGAAGAGAGCAGCGGGGAAGGGCGATGGTGTTCTGGGCGGGGCGCGTCTCTCAGCGAGACGCAGCTCAGCGGCAGACTGCTGCTTCTGGGTGGCGCCACAAGGTTGCGTCAGGCCTCGGCCGCGGCTAGGGCATCTGCGGTCCCCAGCTTGAGACCCTCGTTGTCCCTATCATGTTCCCTCTCCTCTCCTCTCCTCTCCTCTCCTCTCCTCTCCTCTCCTCTCCTCTCCTCTCCTCTCCTCTCCTATCCCTTCTTCCCCCTCATTCATCCTTCTTGGCCCGCGGCAATTTGGGCTCGCGACGCCACCCGCCGCGCTTGCTTGGCAGGCTATATGTTTTGTTGCGGCGCAGAGCGGGATCTCCGCCATTCATGCGGCTCACCGTGAAGAACACGTTCCTCGACGTGTCGGGCGTGACAGTGGGATTTGGGCACGACCATGACGACGCGACGCGGAGGTGCTCGAGCTGCCCGCCGCGCTGCTCGGCCCCGACGAGCTCGCAGCAAAAGGCGGACCAGGGTGGCCATCGCGCGGCGCCCGCAATGCCCACCCGCTTCACACGCGGCGCGAAGGTCGCGCTGGAGTGGGACCCCGCTGGATTCACGGAGGGTCACGGGGGGCGCCAGGCAGATCTTAGGCGCGGCCGCGTGGCATGGATCGCGTTTAATCTCACCGCGATTCTGACGTCGCTGAGCCCGCGCGGCGCGGTGCTGGCCGAGGACGAATTTCAGGTATTTGCGCGGGCGCTCGCGGGAACCGCTGTCACGCTGGACTTGAAGGCCAGCGACGCAATCGGCGGCGTGAAACATAAAATCGAAGACAAGCACCGCGCCCCCGCCCGCATGCAGCGCCTTCTCTTCGGGCGCGAGGAGCTTGACGAGGACGACTGCCTGATCGTTGATTACGGCATTGCCAAGGAGTGCACGTTGATGCTGACAGGAGGTTTGCGCGGTGGCGGGAAGAAAGGGGCGGCCCCGATTCCTCCGTTCGACGCGCCCAGCGCGCCGCCATTCGAGTGTTTCTCCCCCGGCTGTGGCGTCCAGCGAGACACGGACTGTGAGCTGATGGGGCACATCCGCGAGGATCACCCGGGCGCGAGCGCGTCTGACTGTGATGGGACATTCTTCGGCGACGCTGTTCGGGGCGAGAAGAAGCCCTTAGAGGTGCCGGCGAGCGCGGCGAGCGCGGCTGCCTCGGCGCCAGCCGCCGAGAACGCGGCGGCCGAGGGCGCCACTTCGGCCGGCGCAGCGCCGCCGCCGCCATTCGACAAGGACAGCAGGCCGCCCTTCGCGCGCTGGTTCCCCGAATGCAGGTGCCAACGTCTTAAATGCGTCTATATGATGAAGCACGTCCGTGAAGAGCGCGGCATGGCATCGTCGGACTTCAATGGGACCTTCTTCGGCCAGCAAGTAAGGGCGGACAAGAAGAATGATAACGATGCCCGAAAGGAAAAGGCCGCCGCGGCAGGGCCAGCGTCATCAGCAGAGGCAGCCGTCCCGCGCCAGACTTGGATCGTCTGCGTTAAAGAGCTACGGGCGGATGACTTGGCGGCCGGCGACAAGAAGATTGCGCGCGCCGTAGGGAAGGGCCGCTTGCTCGCGGCCCCCCCCGAGACCAACCTTTCGGCTCTCCTCATCCTCATCCTCGCCCTCCTTCTTCTCCTCCTCCTCCTCCTCCTCCTCCTCTCCCTCTGCCCCTCTCCTCTTTCTACCGCGCTGCTTCTTCCTCTCCATGAGGCGGGTAGATGGTATCCAGAACCTCATGATCCTCCTCATCATCGCCCTCCGCGTCCTTCCCGCCATTCTCCAATCGCCCCCCCCCCCTCCTGACCGGGGGGATCATGAGGAGGAGGAGTAGTAGTCAATGGATTGATGGGCAAGAGGAGGATCAGGAGGAGGAACGACGTCTCGGCGCTCGAGAGAGAGAGAGAGAGAGAGTGAGAGAGAGAGAGCACAATAAGCACGATTGCGTTCTGAAGCAGGCACCACATGGACGACAATGGGATGCACATCGGGATAGCATATCATAGCATGGCAATACCTCCCAGCATTATACTGAACGGTATTGAGTTATCGTGTAGTGCATCGTATTGAGTTGCACTGCAGTGCACTGCGGCTGGATATGTTTCCGACCCAGTAGCTACACAGTGGGCACTGTGACCGAGTAGCAAGAGGGCGGAGGATGAGGAGAAGGGGGGATGCGGAGGAACGACCCCTCCACCACAGCACCATCATCCTCTTCATGCTCTGGAAGCTCCTCTGCTTCCATCTCCCCCCCTTTACTTACGATTATCGGGGGGGAGGGGGGAGAGAGAGAGAGAGAGAGAGAGAGATAACAACAAAAAACAAACGACACCTAGTGATATATGTATATATATATAACAGAGAGAGATAAAGAGAGAGAGAGAGAGAGAGAGAGAGAGAGAGAGAGAGAGAGAGAGAGAGGCAGACAGACAGACAGACAGACAGAAACAGAGAGAAGGAGAGCGCTCGAGAGAGAGAGAGAGAGAGTAAGAGAGAGCACAATAAGCGCGATTGCCTTCTGAAGCAGGCACCACACACATCATCATCATCCTCTTCATGATCTAGCAGCTCCTCTTCCTCCCTCTTCCCCAATTACTTACGGTTGTCTGGGAGAGAGAGAGAGAGAGAGAGAGAGAGAGAGAGAGAGAGAGAGAGAGAGGCCTGTTTACCCACTCCTCCTCACAATACATCTAGCACCACATAGAACACAATGGAATGCACAGCGGGGTAGCATACCATAGCATGGCAATGCCTCTGCATTTCACTGTGCGTCATTGAGTTGTAATGAAGGAAGTTTTGGAGCGGCTAAAGTTTGGAGCGGAGTGGGGTTTGGAGAGCAGGATGTGGAGGGCCATATCACTGGGTTGCTATTGCCAGGCCTCTTTTAAACTATGGTCCTCCCAGGCCTCTTTTGAACGATGGTCCTCCCAAGCCTCTTTTCGACGATGGTCCTCCCAGGCATCTTTTGAACGATGGTCCTCCCAGGCCTCTTTTCGACGATGGTCCTCCAAGGTCGATGTATACCCTTGATCTTCAAGATTGCCGAAGTTGGCCTCCAA